GAGGTCCTGTATGTTTGATTTGTTGGTGTGTGACCATGTGTGTAAGATGTCTTAATCTTGATACTATTTTTAAAATATATATATATATATTGCATAAGCCTTGCTCACATGCATGCATTTCACCTTGTTCTTCAAGAATGGAGAGTGATCAGAGATGAGATCATCTCTCATTAGAAGAGACAAGCTTGCAAGTGCAAAATGCTGGTTTCCTTTGAGGCTGAGATTAATAAGGGCAATTTGTGTTGGAAGTAATGTTTTGTTGTTGGGTTTTGTTTTTTTTTTTAAATGCTCATAAAGAACATATTTACTAAGAAAGCTTAGCTTTTCCTGTCTGTGTCCTGTCTCATGTGATGGTTTGTAACATCCATTGCACTATAATGAGAAGAGTCTGTGGGGGGTGTGCCCCATGGAATGAGCAGTTGTGGAAGCTCACACAGCAGCTTTTGAAAAGCTAAACTTTTATATCCAAAAATCAAAAAAATCCCTCTGTGGCCACTGTAGCTTGAAAACCGTGCACTTCAAAGTTCAGAGTACAGAATTGTTTCCCTGATGTTTCTTTTTCCTGTTATCTGTGCATCAGGAGCTCTGGGAAGTGTGAAAGAAACCCAGGAGTGTGACCATGTTTCGTGACACGAGCAGGAGCTGGGGTGTGTGCTCAGGTACAGGAACTTGCATAAGCTAATGTCAGAATAGACATATTCCCTGAATTGTGGATCCAAACCTACCAGGCACTGAAAAAATCCATGGGACTGGATCCAGGGCAGGTTGAGAGCAGTGATGCCTTTGCTTGTCCCCAGAGAGGATGTTCTGTACCCCAGAGGGTCCTGTGGTTCTCAGGACGCAGGAGGGAGTGTGTCCATGTGGAATTCTGATTGGATTTTGCTTCACTTTTGTATTCTCGTGGTGCCAGTCACCTGATGTTCTCTCCAGCTGTTTGAAGTGGTTTTGACTTTAAAAGGTACAGCACAACCCTACACCTCACGTGGCTTTCTTGAACGCTGTTGGGAATTGAAGGATGAAAAAGTCAGGGATAGCTCTTCTCAGTGCTCAACTCGAGATGTTTGGATGTTTAGACAACAAGTTCTCAAGGGAGTTGGGTTTCACTACACTGTCTTTGGATTGCAAAGGCAAACAAACCCACAAGGGGCACTTTGTCCTACAAGGCACAGGGGTTGTGGGATGCTCTGAGGAAGATCAGAAGCTCCTCTGTGCGGTGAGTGGAGTCTCTGCTGACATTTCCTCTGTTGTTACCTGGCACCGTTGAGTTTGGGTTGTTTAAACTGAAGAGATCAAGAATTTTCCTGTGGGATCACTAAGCAGGGATTAAGTAAGCAGGCAGCAAGTGACCACAGTTTAGATCTGTCTTGGGAATCTGGAAGTGAGCTATGCCAGGCTTCTAAGGGTTCCTGAACATAGTAGGGATGTCATTGCTCCTGTGTTTTCATCAATAAAGTAGGGAATATTAATGGGGTTTGACATGTATTGGTGTATCTCATTACAAAGATCACTAGATTGTAATTAGGCTTTAGAAAAAGAGGTGCTGTGCAGCCATCGATCCCTCCAATTTAGCTGTACATTTGGAGGAGGTTTATTGGAGCGTGACACTGGACATACCCAGCTGTGACCAAAGTTTATCTGGCAAACAGCAAGTAGCAAACACTGCAGAGGCTAAATTTGTGTTCAACAGAAAAACTATGAGCTATGCAGTAAAGGTGTCATGTTCATATGCTTTCCAGGATCAGTTTTCTTCCCGCTAAAACACGTTTTAATTGAATCATGCCAGTAGTACTAATTAGACTGTTTACAATTGTGTTAAATTTGGTGTGTTTCCAAAAAGTCAGGATCGACCTTTTGTGCAATCTGAGCATTCTGTTATGATTAATCTTAAAAATTGGAGCTTGTTCTAGCAACCTCAGTGTAGACAAAATGGCCTTGGAGGAGCTGCTGCTGCCACTGTTCAGAGTGCTTGGATTAAGGACACGACCTCAGGGCCTCCAAAATGTGTGTCTAAATTACTTTGGGGTGGTTGAGAACCAATTTAAATGTCAATTGTGCTGTGTGCAGCTGGCAACCAGTCCCTGATGGATCTGAACGGGAATCCTCAACAGCAAGTCAGTCAAAAATTCCAACTGGGTTGGAAATCCATCCAGCCTTTGGAATCCATCCAGCCTTCCAAACCTCTCGTCCTTGAGGTCTGTGTGAAACTTGTGAGTCTTGGAATGCTCTGTATCTGCTGCCCCCTGGGTGGGCTGTGTTATGTGGGATTGCTTCCTGGAAATGTCGTGGGATTGTCTGTTACATGGAAGTGTTGCAAATTTATACTCTGGGTATTTTTACTGAAATTCCACATAAACTTTGTATTTATGACCATCTCGCAGTTAGTTTTCATTTCCTTGGTGTGTGGTTGGCTCATCTGTGGCAATAATTTGGCAATAATTTGGCAATAATTTGGCAATAATTTGG